AGAAAAAGACAAGATAGACTGTATGAGGACTACCTTACCTGGTCACTCCTTAAAGAACCAGAAAAGATGAATGCAGAGAATGACAGACTATCGCTGCTTTAGCATAACATAATTCCCATTGGCGGGAGGGGGGGCGGGTAGAGAAAAGATGGAAATAATGCCACAGATACAAAAGTCATGGTATCTCATTAAATTCTATAAAAAGCTATACTGGAAACAAAGCAGGTGAGAGGTGGCAATCTAACTACCTACATTTATAAAAAACACTGTGACCAGATCTTTGTAATTGTACCTTTTGGCTTCATACAGCAGGAGAATAAATGGTTAACATCTTTAAGGAATGATGTACCTCGATTATCTGAGGGAAACATCTCAGAATCAGGAACTTTTATGACTTGAGCTGGATAAAATATTTACACCTCTACAACATCATTTTTCTTCAGCAAGACCTCACTTTGTCACTGTCACCTTCCCTCCTAGCATGCTCTCTTGCCTCAGTCATTTCCCTAACATTTGTCAATCTCATATCTGTGCTTTTCTATTTCTGGCTTTTTGTTTACTTTCTCACAGATATCTGCACTTCTATTTAAGTACTCTTATCTTTGTTTCAGTGAACAAGGTCACAAGTGAAAGTGGGCTTTGGCAATTCCAGTATTAGCTAGCTGACATTAATTGACATCATGGAACTGTTTGCACTGTCATGGTAGCAGCTCCTGGCTTTACAAGTTCACATGTATTAAATTTCTCAGATACAATTTCAGTTGGTGCCTGTAAAAAAAACTCAGTACTGGGATGTGAGCTATGACAGAGACATATTTGTCACAAACACATCCACATTCACACTTCAAAGCCTGTTTCCACAGGTGCCTTGAAAAGGCAGGGCAATGTTGTGACTTCTAAGGCACCGGTTTGGCAGGTGGTTTTGTGTCCCAATGAGACCATTTGGTTTGTAGATTCTGATCCGGAGAATATCCTTGCACTTATTTCATATTGTGCACCGCATACCTCCAGTTTTCACCATGGTCTGGGATTACTCTGTGGGTAAGCTCATGAACATGTGTTTTTCCAGGAACAGGGAAATCACAAACTTAATTTCCAAAAAGAAGTAATCCCTTTAGGTTGATTCTGTGCCAGGGTACTGATACGTAGTCTTGCACAGAGAAACTAATTCTGGTAATATCTCTAATATCTCTAAACACAGAACAATTTTCAGAACTCTTATGTTCCATTGTACCTATTATATAACATCTTATTATTCAGAAACATTATCATCAGTATAGAAGATTCACTGAATAAAATGTTAATAACTTGTTCATTATTTTTAAGTGGAAAATTAACAGCTAAGTTATTAAAGAGTATTCCTTTCTCAAGATCTAAAACTTGGTGTGAAAAATTACGAGAAGACATGTTTTTAAATGGAGTATTCAAATAGTACTCCCTAGCTGAAGAAGAAAAGTCTGTGTTCAAAAATAGAAACACTTGGTGAAAATGTCATAGTTATCACTTGCTATTAAATAACACAGAAAGTCTAAAACCCAACAATAGCTAAACAGAGTAGGATAGCTATAGGTATGTAAAGCATAAGATGAATTGTTCTGATACTCACCGCAACATTTATATATTAAGTAAGCAAGTTAGCATGCACCTGTCAAAATTGAGTTCAGACTTCCCCTAATTTTTATATCAATGCCATTTTTCTTTTTTTTCCTTTGAAAATAAGCTTCAATTTGCCTAAAAATTTCGAACATCTTTTCTTTCACATTTTAATGTTCTCTTGATAGAACATAATCCAAAGAGTGAACGCTAACCCCTACAGCAGGGGGGGCCAGCCTCTTTTTAACAGATTGCTCGCTCTAAGCAGTGCCAGGGAGGTTACAATTATTTTTACTGGCATTTCTAACAAACTTACATTTTGCACTTGGATCATTTTTTCAGATAAAAGTTACAATTGTCTGATTTTACTAGCCATTCACTTAGGTTTCCATTTAAAGAGATTTCTCTCTTGCTTTCCTGATGCTCTTCACTGACAGCTGGTCTGACGTGTTTTGCTCTTGCATAGGAACCAGGGTCACAGCAGTTCTGATAGCTTAGCTCCTCATTTTAGCAGAACACTGTGAAGCCTGCCTACGTATCCAGCAGCCAGCAGCCACCACTCTTACCTCCCAGGATGGAATTGGGTCACAGGTGGGACACACTGAGTGCGTAATAAAAAACTCCATCTCAGCCAAAAACCCCGGTTTGTGTCAAATGCCATTAAAAGGCCCTGCTCCGAAACACTGCCAGAAGTGTTATTTCACATCTTCATACTTCTCAATCCCATCTTTATGCTTCTCGGGCCCAATTTTTGGTTAGGTAGGCTTCTGTGGAATAGAATAAGAAACTTCATTTGTAAAACTGGGAATTAATAACACAATAATACGAGTGGTTGGCATGAACAGACCTGGTGGCGGCTTTGATGGGACTATTCGACTATGCAAAATAACTCGGGCACAAAAGTGTTTGCCAGCTCAAACTCCAAAGCCAAAATGACAAGCTTATTATCAGTAAACAGTATTACTTGCACTGCAGTTCTGCTTTAAGGCCTCGGCCAAAGACCTTGCACAAAAAAAGCCCAGCCTACAATTAGACAAAATGGATCTAGGATTGCAACTTTCAGGCATGTACTGGGACCACAAAAGTTAGCATGGCAATAGGAATGGCTGGCCTTGGGCAATCGTGGTTTTACTGATTTAATGTATAGATTCACATAAGTTTAAGGTAGATTTTTCTTGTGTCCGTTATCTTTCTCAAAATATTCTGGAGATATGTGGAGGGAACCTTGCTATTATTTAACAGTCTTTCTCTGGCGAACAGGTATGGTCAAATTCAATGAGTTAAGCCTAACAAAACCTCGGTTTCCCTGTTACATACTGGGCCCTGATGAAAGTGCCAGAAGACTGCAGATTCCTTGCTGTCCTGCATCTAGCTGTGCCTGGGGGCAGGGGGAAGTGCTTTGAACTGTAATGGTAACTGAGCAATAATAGGTTTAGAGTGACATAAAAAATGAAACCAAAATCCTGCTTATTGAAGCAATGCAGAATTTAGCATCCAGTTTCCAAGACTAGCGTGTCTGTTAGGTAAGCGTGTAAGTGACTGCAAAAGAGCCATAGCACTATGCATACAGCCCCTGGCAAGTAGAAGGAAATCTTCTGGGCTCATTTCACCTTTACAAAACGTTTATAATCTTTTTGCTATTATTTAGTTATAGGGGGTTTCACCTCTGTATTAAAACCATTCAAATCCTTTTTTGAGTTAGTACTCATCAAATGCTTGAGTGGCCTAGCTAAAATAGATGTAATGCGTTCAAACCAATTTTCCAGTACATAAACATTCCTGTCTAAAAATCACAGGAATAACTGACATCTTTGTTAGCAGCCTTTATGAATTTAACATGTTGAGCTGAGTAGCTGGGAAAAGGTTGGAGAGAAAGTGCTATGCTCAGATATTTGGGGAGTCCGTCGGGGTGAAGCGTTTTACTAGAACAGCCTGGAAAGGATGCTACTGCTTACACTGTGTCAGTTCTCTGGATAAAGAAACAGCTCCAGCTTCTGCATCTGTCAGTCTGGCACCTTTAATAAGTAATTAAATCACACTGTAGATTTGTATACATACTTGGCTAAATAATAAATGACAGCTATCACACTGGCATGCGAGCACATATGCATACCCAGGGCAGGAAATCACATACAGTATTTCATTTGTTGCCAATTTATCCGTAACAAAGTGAGGAAGATGCCCTGGGGACTGGTGACTAACAAGGAGCATTGTTTATGCTACAAATCCCATCCGGTTATTAGTCTTTGGAAAGTGCTTTGTTTAGCTTATCAGTGCTTCAGCAGGAATGCCAGGGGCATTATTTTTGTGCTAAGTGTATTTCTATTCCAATATTACTGACTCCCACTCCATCCCTCCGTAAGAGGTTATGTGTTACCTGAGGGCTGAAAATTAGGCATGTGCTTCAATGCCTTGTTGAATCAGGATCAGGACGGTTAACACTGCACAAAGCCAAGCCCTTTACATGTTTCCTTCTTAATTTTGCTGCATTAAATTGGAGAACATCTTTACAGAAATCAAGGCTTTCTTAAGGACCTTAGAGCATGAAAAGAATAAATACCCTATGAAGTATATCCATCGATTAAAATTATTTTAGCATGTTAGACTTTCTGCTTAAATTCTACACTTTACTTGATAGTTGGATGATACTGTGTTACACAGTCTAATTCTGCAGTTAAGCAATTCCAAAGTATCACAAGTGTCTGGCAAGTTTTAAGCCTGTTTCACAACAGTACTGATAAGCTGCTACTCTACCAGGTGATCAAAATACCTGTAGTGTGCCCTTGATCAAGTTAATATTTAAAAATAGTAATGCAATTTTTTTATTAGGTTCAGGTATCTTTTCAATTATGTTAAACATCTTTTGCAGGGGAGAAGATGTATTTAGATGTTTTAGAAAGGGAGGACTGTTGGGTTTTTTTTCCCAGGAGTCCTCTGCTTTTTTAGCAGATATGCTTTATTTGAGGGGACACCCCCACACACATTTCTTTCATAACTGTAATTCAGAAAACCTGACAGACCCTTGTCATTAGGCAACTAAGTTAATAATTGACAAAGACACATAGCTGGCCTTAATGAATGATTCCACACCAACATTGTCAGTGGGTGTAACATACTCAGCCCCTCTCAGACATTTCTGGAAAGAGGAATGGTAAGCCCAACTTTATGTAGGTCTTCTGAACCATGGTAGGAAGTGTTCATTAGAATGATTATGAATAAATAATTGAAGTATTTATTTATACTTTTAATCATTAGATTACAGTTGGAAAATTTGCATGAATCAATTCTTCCCTTTAAAATATGTCATATTTTTAATTTGCTTGTGATTAGGTTAAATATGTATGGTCAAATAATGAGCTGTCCAGCGTATCCTCCCTGATCATCTTAACTGGCCTTATAATTGAGCCATGAAGCAGCTCCTCACCTATCAAAGGAATCTGACCAAGAGGTCACACAGTATCATGCCTTCCTAACAAGTTTAAGCCTCAAAGCAAGGTCTATTTTCTAACTAATGGCACATGTTTATGGAAAAATGAATAAATGTTTGTTAGCACTTGAATCTGCTAAGTGCTTTTTAAACTTTAATTCCTTCTCTTCAGACATGTTGATGAGAATGGACTCATCACTGTTGCTTTACAACTAGATTTCCGTGTGGTAAAACTGAAAGATGTTGTGAGCTGAGCTGTGTCACAGAGATAAAGGTTTATACCCAGGAGCGTCTGGCTTCATAATCAACAATCTGATCACTACTTCACGCCTTTCTCTTGCATGCAAGTATTAAAAACGTATCAAATGTAGTGGCTGCGTTTTATTACAATAGGCTTGATTTTGCAGAGTTCTACTAGAATTATTTTCAGAAATGCTCAGCTTTCATTTTAGGCCAAAAGATGTGTCCAGATTTGAGAAGATCTCCTTTTTCTCAAAAATCTGACTGTCACATAAGGAACTTGTGGGCTTGAACAGTTTCAAAGCCTGGCCCCTGATGAGGTACCTACACAGAGAATTCTTTTGCAAATCTGACCCCAAAAGCAAGCAACACTTGTGGTGCTCACTGAGAAAGGAATATAAACATAAGGACCTGATTTTAGAAAAACTTAAAACTGTATTTTAAAATAAACATATAAACATCCCATGGTCCTTGCCAAGCAGCAAATTTAAAATCTGACATGAAGCAGTGTACATCGTCATCCATTGCAACCCCTTATATATATAATCTTAATGTAAGTCTTCAAAAGCCATTTCTGTCACACAGGTGCATGTATGTCACAGTACATTCAACTTACTATCTTCTTGCTAATTCATGAAAGTGTTCATTTTTGCTCAGTACTTTTTACAGAGGGAGTCACTTTATGTCCATTCTCTAATTTAGGTGCATGGTCTGGTGAGAACTGCCAATGGTACCCATTGGTGCGGTGATGAGGGTTTTCTCACTGGACACGGGGGTTGAATCTCTTTGGTCAGTGAAAGCATTACGCCAGCGTTCCCTGTGTGGGTGCAGGCTTTCATCACTGAGAGTTGTTTAAAAGGTGACCAGTGCCACTCCTTCAAAATGCTAAGCCCTGCCCCTTTCTTTCAAAGAATACTCCTGTGTACTTGAGAGGATGCTGGGTCCCCCAGCTTTGCAACACGATGGGGTCTTCCTTGCAAATGGTGAGAGTTGAGACGTAACCTATGTGTTTAATATTACTGTTGGCTAGCGGTAGGCACCTCCAGTACTTGGCCTGGGCGATGTAGGTATAATCCTTATGTGTCTCAGTCTCCCTCTGTGCTGTGTAAGGTGCTCAGGAGTCTAACTCTGGACTAGGGAATTCATGGGGGGGAGATACCCAAAAGATAGGTATGGTGGCACTTAAAATTTGAGGCGGCAGAGTTTAAGGCTTTCTCTGGATCTTTGGATTCTAAGTCTGTTTTTCAGAATAATTTGCTTCTGAACTTTGGGGTTTGGTTTTGGTGGGGTTTTTTTTCATTTCCTCCAAATGAAGTAAATTGACTTCTACTGGACTATACATTTTACTGTCCCATTCTGGCTGTAGCATGATTCCCAAGAACATATGGGTTAGAAACACCAATATTTTAGGCTTTTTAATGATGAATCTTAGACCAAAGCTAACATTAGGTGTTCAAAATAGTATTAAGAAAATTGTACAGAAAATCTTGACTTGGCTATCTTCCTCCATATAACACAACAGGAGTCCTGTGGTAGTAAAGTATGAGGAATTCTTCAGCTTCCCTCTTGTCTCTTGGCTTGGGAACAGACTCATTTCAAGCCTCACCAGCGTGAGCAGCATGAATCCTGAAGGAACTTCCAGACTTGATTTTCTGTGCTAACTTTGTGACACTCCCTAATTTGACTGCAGCTAATCAAGTAACTAGAACATGATGCTTCTGGTGACAAATGGTGCAAGTTTGCCCCACTTCTCCCGTAGCAGAGATGTTTCTGGCAGAGGAGCCTAATTTCAGTATGCTACCTGGAAAATTACTTCCATAGTCCCCTTTTTATTCATCAAAGCTGCTTTACAGTATCAGTATGGCATTATCCAGGCCTGGGATTTTCAAAGGTGAGACAGGCACCAAGATCCAAATACAAGGCCATGAAATAGTAGCTTTTATGGGCACTCTCAAAGTTTCCAGCCTAAAGTGTTAACAGGAATGACAATTTTAATTGTGCTGTTTGTAATTATTACATGTAGAACTGCTCTATGAGAGGAAGCTCCCTAAACTGTCATTTTAGGCAAAAATTCACACTAAATATTTTGTTAAGACTGTTTAATGACATCAAAAACTCAAAACCTCATGCCACAAAATACTAACTGCCATAATCACTACTTCAATCTCCAATTCAATCTGCTAGTTCAAATGTTCAAAGGCTGGCTCAAGATTTTGGAAGGGGTAAATTAATTCTGGCAGACTTGTAGCTATGTCAGATATCATCTGTCTTCTTCTATCAGATCCAGCTGGGCGGTCCCCTTATAACCAGGATAAAGCCAACTCGAACACCATTTTGAGTGCTTGAACTCAATAAATCAGAAATTTGATTATGTGCACATAATCTCTTAAAAATAAATGAAAGATTTGGCATGTTTGGCCTAGCCTATCTACTCGGGCCAAGACTAAGCCACTGATATCTTTGCTGAAGGTGACCCCAAGTCTCTTTTTCCCCCAGATGCTCTATTAATGTCAGAATGGCTATAGCAGGTCAAACCAAGGCCATCTTGCCCTCTCTGCAGCAATGGATGCCTACAGAAGAATAAGGAAACATTAATGATACTTCCCTGGAATACACGTTCATTCTCTAGAGATTTATGGTTCAGGAACTTCCTCAGTCAGAGGTACTACCTTTGCATTTTGTAGTACTTGATGCCCAGTACCCGTTGAACTCAAAAATTTCGAGCATCCATAAGAACATCCGCTGCTTAACTGTGTATGTAAAGAACTGCCTATTTTTTTTCCTCTGAATCTGCCACCTGTTAGTCATACTGCAAGAGCTGGTCAAGTTCCCCACCTTGCTTCATTCAGTAAGAGAGAGATTACAAGAAAATAAAAAATGATGTTTCACGGTACTGGGTTTGAATGATTTTTCTTCATCATATACATGCACATATTCTTCACCTAGTGTCATTAGTACAGGATCATTGCCTGGTTCTTTGCTCTAATTCATAGTCCTAACTCTAACTAATGCTCTGAGAGCAGAGCTTGAGCATTTTCAGGGTCTCAACAGGAACTTGCACTCAGCTGACAAGTTTCCAGCCCCTTCACGTGGTAGCTTACCTCAGCAGCCAGAACTGGTATCATACGGCAACACAGCAACATTCAATTTTCCTATTTTCTGAACAGCACAAACTCTGTTTCTGCAGACTTGCTCATGTAAGTCAGCAGAAGATGAGTCATCCGGAAAAAAACCATAATCATTTGTCCCCTAGGAGTCATATAGTAAGTTAATTATTGTACAACACATTCTAATACAAAATACACGAGCAGTTTCAACTGCTTGAGGTTGCAAAGGGCAAGAGAGCTTTTCAAAATTTCCATCGGTTATGGTCTGGGAATGCTGGGTTTCCCTTGACTCGGTATCTGTTGCATAATCAGAAACACATTTGGTTCCCTTTGTTGTATGAGACAAAGCTAAAGAAATGTGTGTGTTATTACTCTGCAAAAATAAAGAGTAGATACCTAATCAGCTTATGTCATGTATGCAATGTTTGTAAACACAACTGCTCTGGGGCAGTTTCTCAGCTGACGAAAACTATTACAGCTTTTATCAGTTGAAATAATGCTCTTCTGAATCTGCAAATACCCCATCAGTACTGCATGGGAAGTCAAAATACAGGAATGCGATGTGCCATATGAATTTTAGGTAGCATTGTGTTAAAACCTGCTTGCCTGGAGTTCACCTGTCAGTGCACTGGACTTGAATCTGATCATTGTTGTGTTTTAGTTATTCACAACTAGTCATCCCAGCTTTGCTGGGCTATTGTGGGGTTGTTATCTCAGCAGGAGATAATCTTATCAGTGCATAGAGAGGAAAATCTGAAAACATTGTAAATGCCTGCAGCATCTGTAATTTTTCTGTTGAGAATCAGAAACAAATACATTTACAACTTCACAAACGGTAAAGGAGAAAGACTTTTTCCAGTAGTTATGGCATATTGTTCTAAACCCTCCAGTTCTTATTTACAGATCCTCATTATAGCAAGGAAAGACTGGTATTAAAGGTGCTGATTTAAAATAACTATTTTGGTGAACTTGTCATTTTAGACATGGCTCTGGCAAGAGATCGGGTTTCTTGAACACTCATTTGGCAGACCTACATGACGACCTCTCTCTTGCTTGCTTGGAATTATTACATTAGAAAAAGTAATTACTTAAATAAAATCTTTGCCTGTTGTCAAATGAGTTTGAATCTTCACAGTCACTCTGGATCGTCCAATATTTGACATGCCAAATATAGAATCTATTCAATTTTCTCTTTATAAAAACTTCTATAAATAGGTCAAGTACTTGGAAGTGTATTCATTGAGCTGTCATGTAGACAGGTGCCAATAATGTATCCGAAAAGCAAATAAACAATCCAAATTGGGCAAGAAGGGACAGCAAGCATACAGCAATACTGTAATCCCAAAGTACACCATCATGCATCTGAATGCCTTACTTCAGTAATGGAAAAATAATACCCATTTCATATAACGCTGGGCCTCTGTGGTCATTAAGAAACATGTGAAGTTCACAATTTTTCAGTCAAAATACAAAATAAAACTGTAATTGACGACATCTCCTGTTGAACCTCGCTAAACATGCATAGGCAGTGGAGGACAGTCAATAACTTTCAAAACTCTGCCTTAAAGTGAAGGAACTTCCTTGGAAGCTCCCTCCCAATTTCCAAAGTGCCCCTCTGGTTCTGGAACTGACAGAAATGTTGAAATAACTTTATCTCAAGAAAGGACGGACACTAACCACACTATTACTAAATTTTCTTCAAACACTGATCTCATTGTGGTTATGGCAATCAAACAAATAGTCAAGTGTAAGTTTCTCCATGGTGTGCTAAGACAAAGTAGGCAGGTCCATCATCCATTACAGACTAGCTAATATGTCATAATAAAGGTAGCAAAAACTTTCAATGCGGTAAGGAACCAATATCAAGTAAGAATGGCTATTTTATCTCTCACTGTATCAAACAATCCTGGCATAGATGAATATATTGCCAAATAGACTTTTACTGCTTACAGGCAATGATTTAGGAGCAAAGATTGGAAGACCAATGTACATCCTTCAGCCTTTGCCCTCCAGAAATATGATACTACACTCTGGATTTCAGAATGCCTCTTTAGCATTTCAGAGGCTTACAGAATTCTTATCTTCCCGCTCTAAAAAAAAGCTCATTATTATTCTTAATTATAGAGTTTGCTAAACAAAGGGAAGGACTGTTTGGAAGCAATCTTTTTACTTAAATAAAGGAGTCTTTTTGTTACATAGCCTATGGTACACACTAAGGATACCATTCTGCCACCCAAGGAAAGCAGAGAACACACGGGTCTGTATTTCAGCACATTTAAGTGATAGACATGACTACAAAGGAGGAGGAAAAAGATCCAAAAGCTACTGAGGCGGACTTTGGGTGCTGTCTGACTAATAATGACAGCTAGACAAGCCAGTGGTGCAAACTCAACTGGCTTTCAAAACATAAATATTATCCAGTGGTGTGTGGATATATCACTGGAAGCAGAAACATGGCATCATGATCTTACCTCTGACACTGGTCCTTTCTGTAGGATTACACAAAGCGCTTCATTTCTTTGTGCCTAATTTTCATTATCTGCTGAGGTAACGATTAGTCACCCGTGACATCTATACTTAGTTTCTGTGACTCTCTGCTAATCATAGTAAATTATTATTAATGAACTGAATATGTCAATCAAAGTACTAATTTACTGAAGACTCTGTACTACTTCTCTTCCAGGAATCACTCCAAATTTGGCAACCTAGTAATCACAGTGACTTCAGCTGCCCCATCTGTCTCCAGACAGCTACTCTCCCAGTACAAACCAACTGTGGACATGTATTCTGTGGTAAGTTTTCTGGACTGACAGTGCAGACAGTGCAGTGCTTATAGAGGCTACTAAAAAAGCACTCTTCTTACAGAAATCTCAAGTCCTATGTAAGAACCAGGACTAAGCCCTTCTCCATGGAATTAGTGCTTTCTACTAAGTGCTCTCACTAGAAGCAGGAGAAGTCCCATCTTTATATTCCCCCCAAAAATCAGTAAGAGTATTTTTATTTGCTCACTTCTGAAATGCCCAAGTCTTAGGACAACAAGAAGTAATAGATCATCTCACAGGATACTGTTAAATTACAACACAAACTCATGGAATGGGTAAAATGCATCAGAAAAATCACACAATTTGTATTCAGCTATGCAAAAAAAACCCCATTATAAAAACCAACAGTCTAATAATCATACAGTTTGTGACTGTGAAATCTCAAGATGTAACAAACATGAAGTCTTACCTTCAAGCCTGAACTCACTTCTGGGAAGACAGCTTGTCTTTTTAATCAACAGCATAAAAATCCAGCTATCCCATAAAATTAATTCTGATTGTATTTATATTGGTGAAAATCGGGAGTAAGACATACTGGACTTAGGCCTGATTCTGTTCCACAGACTTGCTTCCCAGGTGAAACACTTGCCTAAAATAAAGCAGAAGTGATCTAGAGCAAGAAGGCACAATTATATTGGCTTGTAGTCCTGTAAAAGCTTTCTAAACAAACAAATAAACAAATTGGTGGAAGTTACATATTAAACAATTTTAAAAGTGAGTTTCTAGTCGTGCATAAACCTTCTTTTAATCTGTTTATTGTTTTTTAAATAAACCTGTGTGGTCATACAGGGGAAAAATGTTCAAAGACATCGCATCACGATGCATGCTCAGTAACTCTTTATTCCAGTCCAGGATCCACCTTAACAGGAAAGGGACAGATCCAAATTTAGGGGATCCTTCTGTTGAGGCTGCCCATGGTATGGTCTCCTGTCCTCCCCAAGTACATCTATAGTCACTGGGTAATCTAAGTAAAACCATAATTCTCTAGATAAATGTGTCTGCTAAATGCCTTCTTTGAGGCTGCTAAGCCGTATGGTTAGGATTACGAAATTTAAATAATTTTTCAAAGGGAATACAAGGATGAAGCATAGAATAGTGGAGGGAGTTATGTTCATAATTGAATTTGTAAAGGGGATTTCAGGATTTTTAAGGCCCACGTTCTGCAGCGCTAGAGCCAGTGTGAGCTTCGCACCTGCTTTGACAGGCAGCAGGATAAGGCCGCCAGCATACTTGGACTGAACATTGTTTCTCTCAGACCTCTGAGAGATATTGTCCAGTGAATTTACATGTGAAGTTTACAACCTCACTGCCCCAGCTGCTTATCAGGTTCCTTGCTGAATGCTGTCATCCCCACAGCAGGGGTGGCAGAAGAGAACTGGAGTTCATCACCTGGTGAGGCTGAAACTGCCCATGAAGGTACTTCAGGGCTACTGTGCAGCATGAGGTCAGTGATCTCTGGCAGGGGTCAGGCAAGCAGCTGGAGGCAGGACTGTCTGGTACTGCAACAGCAATACACATCAGAAGACACTGGTCAGAACCATAAAGCTCCTTTCCACTGCTCTGGCAATTTACAGAGACCTTAAAGCAAGTGCAAGTTATATTTACACTTTTTTCACCATGTACGACTGTTCTAAAAACACCCAAGCATAAAAAAGAACAAGGGACTGTGTTGTTAATGCTGGTGCAATAAAAGCAAATTTTTATCTTTAGGAAGTATCATTCTTCTCTAGACCAAAATGATGCTCACACAGCACAACTCCTCATCACCACTGACACTATCTGCATCCTCTGAAACCACAACAAATCAGTGGATCACCAACAGCTAGGGACACTTTGTAGGGCTCATCTACCTCATGAGTGACACCATTTAATACTTGAGGTTGTTTCGTGTTTTTATAACACTGTTTTGTAACATACAGGAAAAGGATATAACTCACTCCAGGATAAACACTACGCATATGGCCTCAAAATGTGTTTCAAATAATGTCACAGTAGTTATAGTTTCAACTACAAAGACAGACATAACAACAAAGATCATCAACTTTCCTCTTTCTCTGGCCTGGTTAATTTTCCCTTTTCCATCTGTGAATATGACATCATGATATGGACTTTATTTTATTTTAAGATCTGCAGAGGAGAAGTACCATATACAAGCTTGGTATATATTGTTATCGTTAGCTGTATATATTTAGCTAGGCTTTACTTTCCTCAAGTACATCATCATTTACGCTCTGAAGCACAGATTCCAGTGCAATGCATTATATATGTTATGACTATATTTATATAGTAGAAGCGGCCTCTGTAACATGTCTGTTTTTCATATCTTAAACCAATAAAACTTTACATTGGGCTTATCAAAACCATTCTGTGTAGATCTAAGTCTGTTGTGACTGAAATCAGTAATAAAACTTCTCTTGATGCCCTGTGGAACAGAGCTAAGGCAATGCTGAGCTCTCTTAATAAATTCCGCTCTGGTAAAAGTTTTATTTAAAAAATGTGGTCAACCCAGAGCTTTTAAAGAAGATTAATGTGGACTTATAAAAAATGTCTGATTTTATTATTAGTAGTAATTCATACAGTTTGTCCTGAAGTTTTCCTTTTCAGCTTCAGTTTGAACCATATGTTCAGGAAGTTCAACTGAAAAGCGATCCTTGAGCAATATTATTTTTTTCTAATTAACAATAACCACAGAGGTATTTTAGAGAAACCTACAGACTCCCTCAGAAGGTTGTGTAGCAGGATAGATTAAAACAGGATTTTGTCTATTTTATGAAAAATGCACCGAAGCACAAATAGGTCAACTTCAGAGGAGTCCTTCCTTTCCTGTTCCACTAAACAAAGGATTCTGCATGCAGCAAATTTTAATTTCCACGGGGTTCTTTTTTGAAAGCCCTTGAAGAACTGTGGGATCCATCAGTGCCCCATTGTCATCACTGGGACAGAGCACAGGCACAGCAGTACAGCCGCGTGGATCACGATGCAGGATCTGGACCCAGGGGGTCAAAGCGGTTCCTGAAGTCAGGCGTGATGTTTGTCAAATGCAAGAGTTCAAGAGAAAGCTGGAAGCTGGCTGCCAGACTGAGTTTATACATACTGCATGGGGATTTAGATGTAAACACAGCCATGTGCCCAGCCAACTGGTCTGTATATGCAAACAAAATAGAAGAGTCATAAGGAAAAACCCTGCAATCAAATGAAAACAAAAGTAAAAAGCACAAGTCTGAGCAAGGTTCATAAAAAGTATCTTTGGGCCAAATTTAACATCCCTAGTCCTAGTATATAAGATGTAACTGATAGCATCATGAACATTTTTATACTTTATTTCAAACACCGTTTCTGCAATATTCCCCTTTTTAATGACAACAGAAAAAGTCTGGGTGCAGAAAAACCCTGCACTGAGGGCTCCTGAACACTTCTTGTCATAATACTGCTTACAAGAAACTACTTGCTGGTTATTTTTAAGAACAAAGAGCATTGTTCAATTCAATAAAACAATTCCATCAAAATGGCAGCACAGCGTTCTGCTTCTGTTTTCACTGGGGTCCTTGTCAAATTTGATCAGTTTAAACGTTGAGAGATTTTTTTTTCCTGACCTGTCACACTGCACACTGTGCCCAGGAGCTGAAAGTCAGGCTGTGCTGCTTCTGATTAGATGTTATTTATGCTTTGCTGTTTTTGCTGTTAGTGCCAGCACTGACATTCACGTATGTTAACCACTGCTGTCAGCTATACGTGCAGTCTAATCTTACTGTCCTCAGACTCTGCCCTCTTTCACACCTGAGACCTCCGTATGTTGTATCTGGAAATTAGTTAGAAGTTGTCTGGGTAAGAAGAATCAAAAAGAATGCAGCAACTCACTCTTCCAGAGCTACGCAGTTCCCAGAAGGGTAACAGAGTTGAAATACAGTAAGGGGGGGGAGCAAACAGACAAAATAGCCCCATGTATGATACCTCATCAGCAAGATATACGTTGTGCCACCAGGAATCTGCATCACCAGGCTGTCCCTTGGCTGTACATGTTGGTTTATTTGGGATAACCGGCCCTCCTAATCCTGAAAAGCCATACTAGCTCTGGAAGAACTCCATGTTTTTGCAGCTGCACTGCTTTTGTCCACAGCAGCCAGCACTGCATTCTCAAGGGTGCCCGTATTCCCAAGTGCTTCAACCACAGTCAGGGGAGCTTCAAGAATAAGATGCTATGCACAGGAAAAGAAACTGAATAAAAGCCTCCCTTCGGAGGTCCATGTATCTCTGTATATACCAGTGTAGAGAGCTAAGGCTGCGTTTTTGCACAGTCACTTTGCAGAGTAAAACCATGTATTAAAATGAAAGCAAAGAATTACATTCATTTTCATAGTCCATTGTAGAAAGAGGGTTTATTAATTCCAGTAACTTGTAAACATTAAATATCCTCTAATATATTTCATGTATCTTAATTTCTGTCTCTTTTTTTTTTTTTTTTTTTTGGTAGGTTCCTGTCTGATCACGTACTGGAAACATAGTCCCTGGTTAGCAGCAATAACCTGCCCTCTCTGCAGACAAAAGGTAAAACTTACGTCCTTCTGCATTATGATACATACAAAATTACAAGCTTGAGCTCTTAGGATCAACTTTATTTATCCTCCAATTTTCCACAGCATTTCAAAATCCACTTAGACTCAAATGACCCTGCAGCCATTCGCATTTATCATTTGACACGTCATATCAGGCAACTCTGTGAAATATTAAACAGGCCTCCAGCATTTTACTTTTGTATAGTTTATTGAATCTCTGGGATAACATACCATAAAAAGCAATATGGAAGTTCTTAATCTCATATGACCCTGGTCACAGGCTGCCTGTTGTACTGGAAGGTTGGATGCAAGTTATAAAAGGAAAATGTTCTTGCTGCTGTGGAACTGCCAGAGCTGGACAAAGGTCCAGTTGTGAGAGAAAGACTATGAAGAGACACATATTACGGAACACTGTCCTTTATACAGAAGATTAAAATACTCTGTGCTAATGCTGATCTTCTTTTCGAAGGTGGTTCTTCTGGATAACATCTTTTGTGAAAAGCAACAAGATAAGCCAAGTAAACAAATTGTACATGACATTAGAGATTACAACAAGCGTTTCTCAGGGCAACCTCGACCCGTAAGTATTTACAAATCTACCTTTACCTAGTTAGTAGTACATAACACATAGATGATTGAAAGAGACCCAGCAATGAGAACTAGTTTGTATCATCATGTGAATTACCTCTCCATGCACTTACTGGCGATATCACAGTGCTGGGTCCAGCACCTTCTGGTAAAGGTGCTTCTCGGAGTTCCTAGCTCAGAGGAGTCCTTCTGCAGTCATCCTGGCAGGGAGGAGAAAGCAGTGTGAGATGAAGTACAGAAAGCAAAGGAGAACTAGAGATGGTCGGGCCGGAATTTTCAAATATGAACTCAGATTTGAACTGCAGGATTTTAACTTGGCTGTTAAAATTTCAAATCAGATTCCGGTTTAGAAAGCAGCTGGTTTTTTCCCCAGGTATTGCCAAATTCAAACAGTCCACACTGGCTCTGCCCTTTCTTAAAGCTGGAATCCCAGCTGGTACAGAGGCATGACAGGCAGTGGAAATGATGTGAAAGATGAGGGCTGAAGGCACAAGCGAGGCCCATTCTTGACAGGGTGTAGGATATCACCAAAGCAAATCTTCCTCTCCTGTCACATCCTAGTAGGGGGCCTGGAAGGACTGTGGAATCTGTTTCAATCTATGGACTAAACTAAGCACTGGGGAGAATATTATTTTTCAACCCAGCAAACTAGCATTAATGAAGAGGAATAATCACTCAGTCCTATGGTTCTTGTCCACACCAAGGTGAGACTTGAGGCCTCATTTTCAAGCATTCACAGCCTGCACTTGATGCCAGATTTTAAAGACAGGCATATACTCAGTGCAGCCATTAAGGCCCAGTTTCCAAAAGGATTCAATGTCAAGCATAATACTTTCTTTTCAAAGTACTGGGGGAGCGGGGATTCCTTTTAGAAGTGTGCCTCTAGATACTGCAAAATAATTGAACAGCATAGGTGGATTTGGACAGCATAGAAAGTTTCTGCATTCAAGAGATTTGAATCTAGAAGTGCTTAAGAGACACACTGAATTGAAAGAACTGCATGCGTCAGAGTGCAAAATAATGTAACTCATCTGAATATTTAGTTTGCAGATTACCTTTACGACATGCTGTTATTCCTGACTCTTGCCTTGCGAGGAATCTTCACCTGGGGTGGTCTTGTATGGATTTTTTTCCTAAGAGTTGCTGTTTGCTCCTTCGGAACAATCATATGCTTGTCTTCTGCATTTGACATGAAGCCTGGGCCTCTCTGTAGGACACTTGGAACAGCTGATGACATGGTGGTTGTTTCCCTTCTTCTAATTTGCATGATAAATACTTGTCAGCAAATTGCATCTAATGGGGTAAATATGGCAAGGTCTGCAGCTCAGAGCATGCTGTCAGAGTCCTGACTGACTCAAACTTGGATTCCTTGGTCAAACTTCATCAAGCGATGACAGGCCTCTCTTTGATTTGGGGCAGTGTATGATGGATTTGTCATTCTGCTGCTGACAAAGGCTGAAGCAGGACTCAGCAATACTTGGCACGGCCAAGTGATTCGATGTGCCGGTGCTTAGAAGGCTAGTTTTACACTGTATACTTGCTAGACTTTTTCATGCTGCATTTTTCTGTAACTTATCTTCATACAAAGTGCCTGAATTGAAAATGCCTAAAGCTATGAACAGAGCTCAAAATTACAATGCCAATCAACTTGCAGTTGAAGAGTTTTAGAACTCCTGAGCTTTAACATTTTACATCTTGGCTCAATTTGAATAAAATCTTAATTTGAGAACTTTTAGCAAACTGTACAATTTGCTAAGTCTTGTATAACACAAGGAATGTTAGATAGTATCACTACAAAATCTTTTATCAGTGCTTTGTGTTATCACAGCTGATTACACATCCACTGGAATACAGATTTTTTTTACAGCTCTGCAATGAGTACAGTGCTGATTTTAAAGTGGATAACATGAAACTGGTAGTAACAGTAGCTTGGAACAAAAATGCAACTGTAAAGTAGAAGTATTACAAGGGGAGAAAAGCATTAAAAAATCATGCAAGAAATGTGAACAAATATCTGTGTAACTCCTTTGTACATGCATATGCAAGGTACACAGCTTTCTTGAACTCTGTGCATCTAAGCTTTAACAATGTCAGCACGACTGTTTCCTTTCTAGACTTCATACACTCCTTGTGATTTCCTTGCAAGTCTCAGTACCAGTTCAGCCAGAGAGAGCAAGGCCAATTTTATGGTGACAATATAAACAGCAGGAAGTTTATGGAAAGTTTGCCGAAGTTGGGGGTGGGTGCATGTCTGTTTGTGTTGAGCTGCAAAGAGTTAAAAATGATGGTATAGTGCCAGACAACCCTACACATCTGTCCCTCTATAATCTGTATATTTGCTATGTATTTGGAGTCAATGGACTTCATTTCTACATATGAATTGTATATTAAAATAGATACATTAAAATTTATGAATATTTATTGCTCACAATACACTGGTCTCCAACTGATTTTTCCTTCTACGTATTTTCAGCTGACATATTTTATTGTGCCCTTGAATTGTAAGCTATGATTTACCATTATGTTGCAGTCGTTTTCTTGCTTGTTATACTCTTTTTGTTATGATGTTCCTTAATTTTATTCCCATCAACTTTCATTGTCTTTAATTATGCCCCTGAACTTGTAAAGCTGTTTCTCTTAACAATGGGTACTTTGGAAATGGCAACAATTGCTTTTCCATGAACTACAAGGCAGGAAGTGCATTGTTTCTTTAAAAAAATTACCAGATGTTTTTGAGTGCTGACTACTAACATAAAAAAACCCAGAAACTATTCTTTTCCAAGTTCTCTAAGTGCAATTTTGTTATTGTGTAACTTCTGTTTGCATTTAACTGGGAATTACAGCCTATGCCAATACTAAAGAATGGAATTTCTATCAAGCTAAGTGTATAAAGATGGAGTCCATCTATATGAACACTGACTCTGTGGCAAGGGACTGTAGGTTGTTTCTCTTGCATAATACAGGCTCACCAGGAGGGTGGCAGTTCACAGTTTGAAGGAAAGAAGGGTTCTCATGAGTGACCTACAACAGAGCTGTAGTTGATCTGAATATGCTCTTCCATTCTGTCACCCCTTGCTTCTTAACCCTCTCCTTCAGCTGGGGACCCTGGTTTTGCTTCTTAAACAGAATAGTATCTTTTATTAGAAGTAAGAGACAAATGGCAGAGAAAGAAAGAATTTCTGAGAGAATTTCACTGAAGGCACTGGCAGTGTTTGGATCTTGCAAGATCAAAACAATTTGTACTGTCAGAGGTGAAACACTTTTGCTGTATACAACCAGAGAGTCCAAACTCTCTCCTTCCACAGCCCAGTTATGCCACGACCTGTCGTCGTGAGCCTGGCAGCACCTTGTAGGACTAACTATGCAGGGCAACCTTCAAAATCACTCGGGAACAAACGAAAGCCTATTGTGGACTGGATTTGGCCAGCAGGCAGCCAGGAAGGTTTCTGAGCGTTGACAAATGCTCAGAGGAAGGAAAACCCCCTCTCTCTCTCCCACTGTGTTCCCTGTACCTGCTGTCGCTGAGTTCAACTCTGCAGCTGGCTGGCTGTGTAGATGCACATGCTCTGAGCTGGGTCTGGCTGAAGCAACGTGATGAGAATGGACAGGGAGAGCTGGGCTCTTTCAGGGCTGACTCCCCACGAGGCAGCTGGCAGGATGGAAGGAATGCACCTGCATTATGAACATATTTTCAGCAACTGTGTCTGCTTAACCTAGTCTTTCAATGTCAACAGTGGGCTGTTTCACATCTGCACAGTGATTAATGCGCACCAAGGGCGAGTTACTTGCAAAAGACAAAATGGCACAAATTATTGATAGCAAAAAGACTGTGCTGCACGAATGGAGACAGAAAAAAAGAGAGCAGGAAACAGAAGAAAACGGAGGGAGAAAGACTGCACAGCTGGAAAAGTGATTCTCAAATATCAGCCGCCAAAGAAGTACTATAATCAGAGTAAAAAAAAAAAACAAACAGGACTTTCCAATGGAAATCATGTTTAGGTCTTAGCTGTAGCAGACAGTAAGGTTAAAAGGACCATGTGCGATGCCAGGTGTAGTTACCTGTGAAAAGCATGGCAAAGGGCAGCGCCTCAAGCCCATCCGCAGGAGTTACGTTGCCCCTTGTGCTGTTCTGGCTTGTGGCCACTCTAAATACCGGCACTGGGGTACCCGCAGCTGGTTGTCTTGTCTTCTTTCAGTGGAGCAAATGATTATTGCTTGTCCCTGGGGTGCAGGGATTATTGACAGAAAATAGCCAGTGCTTCACAGTGAACTGAATGCGGTTTTATTTCTCATTAAAAATTAAAATGTACACTTTAAATGATGAAAGTATATTTTTAACACAGACAGTACAGTAAGGAGAGAGTACCCTCATCGTAAGTGTCTGGAAGTTCGTTATCCCTGCTCTTCCAGGATTACGTGACTCTGGATTAGAAGCTGTTCATGATGGAGCGATACTCTCTCTGATGTTCCACAAGTTTCAAAAACACTTCGTATTTCTTGTCATAGAATCTGTATGAGAAAGTTAATTTCCACAGAGCCTGAGATGTTACGATTTGCATCGCCTGTACCAAGCCTGTTTATTTCCTTCCCTCGGCATCCCAATTACAGCTCTGACTCGGCGCAGAGCCCCGCACGCTGCCGGAGCGCAGCCTCCCCCCGAACGAGTGACTTCCAAGTCCTAACCGCACCTTTCGCCGGCCCTCGAGCCAGCTTTGATTTTCAGGCCGCTTCTCCTCCGGACTCCCCCGCCGCGGGAGCGGGAGGGCACCGGGCCACGGCCGCTCCTGCAGCCCCCTCAAGGCTCCGCCAAGGTCGCCTCACGGCTTCCCGCGCTCCGGGCCGCCCTGGAATGGCGGACGCCGCTCCCT